TAGAATCCTGCTCATTAGAAAGTCTGGGAAATGTATTTTCCATACCTTCAGTCCTTGCCACAGAGAGACGAGACTTAAAGGGCTGACATAGTGCTGAGTATTCACAGACACTACTTGGAAGTAGTTTTCACTAAAGGTCAGATCAAATGAAATCAAAAACATCCTCCATGCATCAAAGGTTCATTGAGCACTAGGATGACATAGTCCTGAGCACTGTGTCAGCTTATTTGGCACGAAAGAGCCGTGGTCAGAAAAGGAAAGTAAGAAATTAGGGAAAGCTTACCTTTGCAATCAACCCCCATACATCTTACTTATTTGAAATTTTATTAAATTACAATGTTAGATTCAAAGTCAGAGCATTTATTAAAAAGATAAAACAGAATTTTGGAAAGGTGATTTGTTGACTGCAAAGATCAATGAGAGATTCAAAACTCATCTCAGTACACAGAGACCTGGGACTGTGGATTATGACTCTGTCATAATCCCTGGATTGGGTGTGAAATTAATGAAGTCCGTTCATTTGTACCCTTGGTCAAGAAGAAACATATTGCTGAAAATGGCACAGTTGACACTTGCAAGCCAGTTATTACACAGTTCACCCCATAATGGCAGAAAAGATATCTCAGGAATCACACAGGTGAAATCACATCATTTTAACAACTAAAGGGAAGATCCTGTTCAGAGCTGGCTTCTTTTTTCCCAGGAATTCATTTCCTTCCTCACTGAAACTGGCTTTTCTGAAGTCCTTTTGGGATCTCCTTGAACTCTGTTTGAATTTTTGAGGCCCTGGTCTTCTTTTCATGACTTTTTCACAGTTTACAGGTAATTTCAAGACCACTCTAGCACTTTCTCCCTGTATGTAATCAAAGCCACTTGACAGTGTTGTGAGGTGTCATAATTCATTCCTGAGTGCCATAAGTCACTACTAACAACATATTATACTTGTGTGTCTGGAGGTTCTTTTGAATTCTTGGACCTAGGTTGAATTTCTAGGTTCCTAAGACACACATATAAAATAGATATATGATAGATATAATATTATGTTATATAATTATATATTAGATCTCATATATATTATATAATTATATATTATTATATCTTATACAATATATACACATAAATATATTTACTATATTATATATTATAATTATATTATAATATAGTATATGTAATATTATATGTAATATATGTAATAATATGTATCTATTTTTATATATTATATTTTATAGATATATTTTATATATTATAGATATATTTTGTAAATAGATATAAATATAGATATATATTGTATAGATATATAGATATATTTCATATCGATAATATAGACAGATGTCTCTATATTTTATATCTATAATATATAGATAGATTTTTTAAAATATAGATATCTTAAAGCCACAGGCCTTCATGTAGTCGTATTGCTACAAGACTTCTGTAGCACAACATCAACACCTTAGCTTAGGGAGGGATACCTTAACCTGGTGATACCAAGACATGATACCAAAACACAGACTTAAATTATCTTAAACTATCTTAAGCTCTCTCTATTTAAGAGATTTTTTTTTAAACCTATGGACCTTCAGGTGTATCGCTACAAGATTTCTGTTGTATGACTTCCCAATTTACAAATAACTTTCATGTTCACTGATCTCATGGAATCTTCGTGACTTTATGACGGCCCGTGCAGGAGGAAAAGGGGAAGCTATTCTCAGCCTCATTTTATGGAAGAAATCGGAAACTGCAAAAGATGAAATAAATTGTTCATAGTCACCTAGTCAGTGATGGCAATCTTCCACACTGCCTAGACATAAATAGAAATGCCAATATTTTCCAGTTTAAGCTATACACTGTAAGAGCTATAATGCTTGGTTAGTCATGTGCACTTTGGGTGAGGATTTCCAGAACTCGTTTTTTAAAAACATCTGGAAACATCAAAAACATAAGATTTTTAAAAGAAAAATTCACGATTTTCTACTAGCATGTCAAAATGTAAATTTTAGGCTAAGATTGAATATGTACAATTTATTCTTTAAACAGTCTGTAATCATAAGTAAACTCAATTAAAAGTTTAATTACATGTTTATTTTGGCCTCATTTAATAGGAACAAAAAGTTTATTTTGTAATGTATTTTTATAAGGTCAAGGAAGAAAAAGTGCATACCACAGGAAGCACAAATAAGATGCCCTAATACAAATATCTACAGAAATTCATTAGCTATTACTGATAGAGCTCTAGTTAAAACTATGCAATTAGAACCACGTGTGAAATAAGTTGAATGTGAACTCAACAGTGGAAAGATGCATGCTTTATTTTTCTATTTTATTTTTTTGAGACAGAGTCTCACTCTGTTGTCCAGGCTAGAGTGCAGTGCCACAATCTCAGCTCACTGCAACCTCCATTTCATGAGGTTCAAGAAATTCTCATGTCTTAGCCTCCTGAGTAGCTGAGACTACAGATGTGCACTACGACGCCCAGCTAATTTTTGTATTTCTAATAGAGACTATGTTTCACCATGTTGGTCAGGCTGGTCTCAAACTCCTGGCCTCAAGTGATCCACCTGCCTTGGTCTCCCAAAGTGCTGGAATTACAGGCATGAGCCACTGCACCTGGCCAAGATGTATGCTTTTATTAAGACCTGAAGTGTGTTATAATTGGGTTGAATTTCTACCCAGATGGCCCCCCTCATGCTGACATCTACAAAGTATATGTATAATTGTGTTGGGGTGTTATCTACTGTGGCTGTGTAGACATCTGTTACTCAGTTAGAAATCAGGACTTTGGAGTCCTTCATGCTGGTTCCTGCTAACACAGGCTGAGAAGCCTCTGTTCTTCAGAGTGGGCAGAATCTCATGTGTTTTACTATCGGGAAAGATTTGGAAATATTTAGAGCAGTTATAAATGTATGGTCTTCAATATGAAACCAATAACTGAAGTGTAGATTCAGGGATACATAGTCTACACTAAATTTGCAAGACATTTACCTCTGAAATGCAAATCTTAAGAAAATGCTTCTTTTAAGTTGTGAAATTTAATGAATGCATATATTCATGTTATATTTATCTAATGGGAGTCACGCTGTAACTTAGACATAATCAAAGAGAAATCCCCCTTTATATGAAAATTGATGCTCAAGTTTTTTTTTTAATTGACAAAAATTGTAAAAGCCTGGTTACAATGGCTCACACTTGTAATCCCAGCCCTTTGAGAGGCCAAGGCGGGAGGATTGCTTGAGTTCAAGAGTTCAAGACCAACCTGGGCAACATAGCAAAACCTGATCTCTACCAAAAAAAAAAAGTCTAGCATGGTGGCATGTACCTGTATTTCTAGCTACTCAGGAGGCTGAGGTGGGAGGGTCACCTGAGCCCAGGAGAGTTGAGGCTGCAGTGTACTGTGATCATGTCACTGCATTCTAGCCTGGGCAACAGTGTGAGACCCTGTCTCGAAAAAACTGTATGTATTTATGGTTTACAGTGAAATGTTTTGATCTGTTTAAACATTGTGAAATGATTAAATCAAGCTAATAAACATACTCACCACCCAGCATGGTTGCCTTTTGTGCATATGTTTGTGCATATTAAGAATATTTAAAAACTATTCTCTAGGTCATCTCTCTGTACAATAAATCTCCATAATTTTTTCATCCCAACTGAAACTTCGCACCTTTTGACAAACTTCTCCCCAATCCCTCCTGCCCTCGCCAGCCCCTGGTAACTACCATTCTACTCTCTGCTTCTATGAATTTGACTTTTTTAGATTCCACACATAAGTGAGTTCATGTAGTATTTGTGGTTTTGTGCCTAGCTTGTTTCGGGCACAAAATTATTTGTGACTTAGCATGATATCCTCATGTTCCTCCATGTTGTGGCAAATGAGAGGATTTCTTTTTTTGTTTTGTTTTGTTTATTGAGACGGAGTCTCTCTTTAGCGCCAGGCTGGCATGCAATAGTGCGACCTTGGCTCACTGCAACTTCTGCCTGCCAGATTCAAGTGATTCTCCTATCTCAGCCTCCCAAGTAGCTGGAATTACAGGCGCCTACCACTGCACCTGGCTAATTTTTGTATTTTTAGTAGAGATGGGGTTTCACCATGTTGGCCAGGCTGGTTTCGAACTCCTGACCTCGTGATCTGCCTGCCTCAGCCTCCCAAAGTGCTGAGATTACAGGGGTGAGCCACCGCACCCAGCTGAGGATTTATTTTTAAAACTACATTGTGTTCCACCATATACATACCACATTTTCTTTATTCATCTATTGAAAGACACCTAAGATGATTCCATATCCTACTAACATAGGGTAGCACATTCATTGATTTCTATGTTGATCTATCCTTGCATTCCAGGGATAAACCTCACTTGAACACGGCCGATGATCCTTTTAACGTGCTGTTGAATTTGGGTTGCTAGTAATTTGTTGAAGATTTTTGCATTCATGTTTATTGGGGATATTAACCTGTAATTTTCTTTTCTTGTAATGCCCTTGTCTGGTTTTGGTATCAGGGTAATGCTGGCCCTTGAATTATTTCCTTTTCTTCAATGTTTTGTTTTATTTATTTATTTATTTATTCATTTATTTATTGAGACAGAGTCTTACTTTGTTGCCCAGACTGGAGTGTAGGGACACGATCTCAGCTCACTGCAACCTCCACCTCCTGGATTCAAGTGATTCTCTCATCTCAGCCTCCTGAGTAGCTGGGATTACAGGCACAAGCCACCATGCCCAGCTATTTTTTATTTTTGTTTTTTGGTATTTTTTGACAGAGACAGGGTTTAACCATGTTGCCCAGGCTGGTCTTGAACTCCTGGACTCAAATGATCCTTCCCGCCTCAGCTTCCCAAAGTGCTGGCATTACAGATGTGAGCCACCATACCCAGCCGTTCTTCAATTTCTTTGGAATAGTTTGAGAAGGATTGGTATTCGTTCAAATATTTTTGATGTGCAAATTATGTGTTTTAATTGGCTGCTATTTTACACAAATTACTAACTACTCATATCTTCTTTGTCAGACAACAGAAAGATTAGAGTTAATGGAACCAAAGAACCTATCGAGTTTAAATCCAATCAGTGGTTTGGAGCAACAGTGAAAGCACACAAAGGAAAAGTGGTGGTGAGTATGAACTGTGGACCTGTGTTCCTGCTTCGGAGTGTGGTGTGCACTGGAATGTTTTCAAGCTCATGTTTAAGAAAGCTCTTTCCTATACGAACATATTAGACTTTCAACGATAAGCCTGCTGGCATTTTAAAAGAAACTGAATGCTTAAAACTAAAGAATGTATACTAGTGTTTAAAGTTCTAGGAAATAAACCCTGTTTTCCAGAAAAGCAGTCAACTATTTTCAAATATTTCAAAACAACTAAGAAACAAAAGTAAAAGCTAAATCTTAAAGCAGTAAAATAGTGTATTGCTTAAGACTGGCTGAGGGGCTACTGCAGAGAAATAGGACTGAAATTCCCATAAGGATGCTTAAAAAGTTAATCTGCTGTGGTTTCATTGATCCTTTCTACAACTAAAGAAAAGCTGTCTTTCATAATAATTTTTAAATGGCTAACTGCATGATTCTCTCAGTTCATTAATACTTTTGAAAGTAAAAACACTCATTCCCAAACAGATATTCTTTCAGCTTCAAAGCGCTATGACATTATAATTCTATTATTTTGTTCTTCTGAGCCATGATACCTGTCTAAGTTATTGAGAAGCAAATGACTATTAAAGTAATCTGGAAGTCTTTTTTCATTTGGGGGACTGTTTCAACCTATTGGCTTTAATTTCCTTACAACAATAAAGCAATAACTTTGGCTTTTAGGATTTGTTAAAACCTACTGGAATTATGATTTAATAAGAATCAGTATCTAAAGGAAATGCCTTGCTTTATTTAGTCTGTGGTTAACCCCAAAAAGATTTTGACATAAAACAGGTAATGTATAAAGTATATATATCCCTCTCTAGTTAAGAAATCCAGCATTTACAAGATAGTTTTTGTAGAGTTGTCTTTGCATTAGTATAATTTTTTCACATTTCAGAATTCATAAGCACTTGTTTTTTTTTTTTGAGACAAAATCTTGCTCTGTCGCCCAGGCTGGACTGCAGTGGCACGATCTTAGCTCACTGCGACCTCCACCTCTTGGGTTCAAGCTATTCTCCTGCCTCAGCCTCCCAAGTAGCTGGGACCACAGGAGAGCACCACCATGCCCGGCTAATTTTTGAATTTTTAGTAGAGATGGGGTTCACCATATAGGTCAGGCTGGTCTTGAACTTGTGACCTTGTGATCTGCCCACCTTGGCCTCCCAGAAGTGCTGGGATTACAGGCAGAGCCACGGCCTCGTAAGAACTTTTTAAGGTGGAGTATGACACCTTTAAGGTGGGAATTGTTGAAAAATTAACTCCGTGTAATAACTGTTTGGGGTTTACAAAATCTTTTGGATGCTGTTTTGAGTTTTTTGTGTCTTGAAATTTTATCTGTAACATGTAATAGTTGCATATTTACTCAATAATTGTAGAAACCCTCAAAACAATGGAAATGAAAATAATGCACCATGTTCATAAAAAAAATGGTTAATTTTCGGCATGCCTGCATTTTCTAAAATATATGATGGGAAATAGGATAATATAGAGTGTATTTCAAGCTAACTTTTTCTTTGAGTGCTGAAACTTAGCAGAATGAACACTTAAATTATCTCCTATATGACATAATTTTTATAACTGCAAAATGCTGCCTCCAGAAGTATCATTTTGTATACCCAGATACCATGAGTATACATATCAGGTTTGGGTCAAAGCCTAAATATATCACATCAGTATGTTTCACATCAATGTGAAACTGAGCAGACTGAAAAAGAGTAACTTTTTAGAGCTAACATCAGGCAAACGCTGGAGAGAATTTTCATGGCATGAAATGCCTTTTGGTGAAACAGAAGGTGAGGCCAGTTGGATCAGATCAAGCTACACAGGTGAATGCTTCACGACTTAGATTTCCCTGTGCTTCCCCATCTGTACCTTACATTGAATTTATGAACCAGATACCTTGGGTAACCTAGATGAGTTAGAAAGTTTTGGGGTATTGGCCAAGACTTTGCAATACACAGAGAGGCAAAACCAAACAACTGAAGTTGTAGAAGTCTAATTTATTTGACTAGGAGTTATCTTTACTAAAAGTACTTATACATTGGGCCAAATTACCAAGGACACGTTTGGAAGCATAGACTACTTTCAAATTGGGATCTTTTTTCACTTCTCTGGAATTAAGTGTGATACTATCAAATTAGAAGGCAGGCTAGCAGCTCTGGGTTCTAGGATTCTGTCTTGCCAGATGAGTATCTGGAGAATGGGGTACAATACTTACAGAAGACTCAGGTAAGCAAAACAGAAGTTCAAACAATGCTAATGTTTTGTACATGTCTATTTCCTCCCTCATTCCTAACAAAATGTGATTTCATTTACTTGAAGAGGATTTTCTATCAGTCCATACAGTGCTCTTTAGAATCTAAACTTCTGCTAAAAAAAAAAAAAAAAAAAGAATCTAAACTTCAGAAAAAGGAGCCAGATGATTTCATGTTTTTCTTGCTGTTGTTTAAATTCATTTTTGCCAATAATATTCCTGATTTTAGGCAAACTAATTTAGAAGCAGTTCTCTTTTCACCATGATGTATTCCCAAAAAAGGTGTCATAGAAATGACATAAACTCTGTCCTATTTTCTCTAAAACAACATTCTGAAAATTAAAAGGCATGGATGAGGCATTAAATCAGTTTCTGATATGACAAGTTATAAATCATAACAGCAAAGAAAACAACAAATGCATAATCATTTGGTATTGTAAAATTATGTTTCAGCTTCTGACAGGCATGCATTTAATTCAACATGTTACACATCTAGCAAGCAGGTTTTATACGCAAACCTTTATATGTTAAGTGCTGTAGGAAGTTAAATCAATTCCACAACAGGTTCCAAAGTATGAGCAGATATTTGTACAATATGCAGCATTATTTACCACCCTGTATGTTAGCTGGAAAGAAGCATGGGACATTTCATTTCTAACCCTTTGTTTTTTTGCCACCTTAGAATGGAAAGGGCGTTTACAGAATGATTTGGATAACTCTCCTCTTTCAGAAAGAGTGTCTGACGTCTTTGGAGTTTATCGCAATAAATTTCTCCATAACAAGGAGGGCCAAAGACTTGAATTACTTCACCTGTGGGGTTTAATGCCTTGAAAATGCTTGTAGCTCATTAACATGCTCTCTTACTGACTTTTTGATCATCCCTGATAAAATTGCTAAAACAGGCAGAAAATGCTTTTACTTTCAGTTTTGCCATGAATAAAAACCATGACATGAAAACCAAGCCAAAAACACTGTGAAAATGGAGTAGCGCGTCCAGATGAAAGTCTCTGTTTAAAATTCCTAGGATGCGACTTCAGCGGTAAACTAGGAGGTGTCAGAAAACAGGTTTACTAGCTTGTTTGCATCCTTTGATTTGAAAGTCATCTTTTAAAAGCAATAATTAGACACAGAAAGGAACCTGTTCTCATAAGACATCGCACTGATTAATTCACTGTTTCCATGATCATTTGCTTTTATGTAGGTCCAATAAAAAAAAAAAGAAAAGAAATACAAGTTATTTGCTTTTAGGAATTATTTTCTGCTTGCTTTGGGAAGCAAAAAAATAACAATTTAAAATTCCATGGGACCTAGGCACTGTGGTTCATGCCTGTAATTCCAGCACTTTGGGAGGCTGAGACAGGAGATCACTTAAGCCCAGGAGTTTGAGGCCAGTCGGAGCAACATAGTGAGACTCTGTCTCTACAAAAAAACAAAACAAAACAAAAGTTAGCCAGGCATGGTAGTGTGTGCTTGTGGTTCCAGCTACTTGGGAGGCTCAGGAAAGAGGATCACTTGAGCCCAGGAGGTTGTGGCTACAGTGAGCTGCGATCATGCCTCTGCACTCCAGCCTGGGTGACAGAGCAAGACCTTGTCTCCAAAAAAAAAAAAAAAAAAATCAAAGAGAAAACTCATTTTTTTGCACATATTTAATTTTCACCAATTCTACAGTATAGTAACATTAAAAATTAGCTTTGGAAATTTAATTACCTCTGATGACCAACGTATTCATTAGCATGCTAGAGGCCAATTAATTCACCCAATAATTTAACAGTTTGTTATACCAATAATTCAAATAAAACTATAGTATGAGAAACCTACATCAAAAATGTGCTTTTTTATCTTTCATGTTTCCTAGGCCTGTGCTCCTTTGTATCACTGGAGAACTCTTAAGCCAACACCAGAAAAGGATCCGGTTGGCACCTGTTATGTAGCAATCCAGAACTTCAGCGCCTACGCCGAGTTCTCTCCTTGCCGGAACAGTAAGTGACTTTTATTCCTTGAAACTGACATTAGCTCAAGTGCTTTTCTATTGTAGACAGGAGTGCAGGTAAGCTCAAAACACCACTGATTAATGTAGGCAAGATAATGATCGAATGGCATAAATAAATGAAGAGAAAGAATAGTGATATTAGAGGGTTAACAAAGAGGCCGCTGAGATTTAGAAACCTAAAGAACTGGGCGTAAACCTTTTTTCTTTTTTTGGAGACAGGATCTTACTCTGTCACCCAGGCTGGAAAGCAATGGTGTGATCATGGATTAATGTGGCCTGGACTTCCTGGGCTCAAGAAATCCTCCCACCTCAGCCTCCCAAGTAACTGGGACCACAGGCATATGCCACCATGCCTAGCTAATTTTTGTATTTTTTGTAGAGAGGGGTTTTTGCCATGTTGTTCAGGCTGATCATGAGCTCCTGAGCTTAAGTGATTCATCCACCTTGGCCTCCCAAAGTGCTGGGATTACAGGCATGTGCCACCATATCTGCTTTGAACATTTTAACTCTTATGGCTTTTGGTAAGGATTTTTAACAAGGAGGGGATTATTGCTTTTCTGTTTAAAAATATTGAAGTAAATCAGACACTTCTTCACATTACACCAAATGTCAGCTGAATGGATAGTCCATGGAACAAGGATTTTATTTTAAATAGCTTTAAAGTAGGGGTTCTTTGTAGACCATGGGACTCAAGTATTTATTCAATGCAGGATTTCTTTAAAAAAAAAAACACACATTGAGCACTAACTCTTCTGTGTTTAGGGAATACAGCAAAAAACAAGAGGAAAAAAGCCCTCTGTTCAAGGAACTGGCTCTAGACAATAAACATGTAAATAAATGTGTTTATGATACAATGTCAGGCAGTGATAAGTGCTACTGAAAATACAGCAAGACAAGAAAGGAGGGAGAGACCTGTGCTGGGGAATCCAAGGGAGGAGGAGTATTTTAGAAAAGGGAATAAATGATTATTGGAGTAGAAAGGAGAGAAACTCCCCAGACTCAGGCAGCAACCAATATGAGGCATAGTCTGTGTCATGTTCCATTCAAAGTGCCGTGCTCTTGGGTTTATTAAGAGGTCAGCATTGTTACGCTAAAGATAAAATCTCACAAGCAATAACAAAGGATATCCAAAGTATATTTAGAAAATTAATGGTAGTGAGAGATTCATTACTGAACTTTGTTTCATCCTTGTTTACACCTATCCACGTCCTATACTCCATGATTTACCCATGTTCCTGTTCTGTGATATTGACCATATGCTCACAGACCAGCTAGCTTGTTAACAAACAGCAAATAACTGTAACTAAAAAGATGAGCCTATCCCTCACATGACTTTTGCCTTGCTAATGTAGGATATTCTTCCTACTGCCATCAAGGATAATCATTTATAAATCTAGTCACTCCTTGTTCTGCCTTCTTGCCTGACTACCTGCATGAGATGTGAGGACTCAATCAAAATACAACACATGAAGCATAGACTTCTGAGGGAGAAGTTTCAGAGTGAGTTTGAACCATTCTCTAAAAATGTAAATTAATGTACGATTGCATCTTAAGCTACATGGACACAGGATACTAGTTTATTTTCCTAAATAAAATAATAGCTCCGCAAAGATAAAAGGGAGCACATGTTGAGTTGCAGAACAGCTCAATAAATTGCCATGAATTCTTTCCTCTCTGGTTTATAGCCACAGTTTTCACATCCTCCTGGTCTCGCTATTCCTATGGATACTTCTTCTTACTCACATCATCCAAGAAGGAGACTCCCCGTTCTGGCCAAGAAGTTCACAGATCATGAACACAAAGCCAGCTTGTTCATGAGCATATGGTCAATATCTCAGAACAGGAAACATCAGCAATATTATTTTCAAAAGAGAATGCAAAGAAGCACTTCATGTTAATTTTACACCACAAACCCACTTGCTGATACTATTAGCCATTACCTGCTCATTCATATGGATGATATGCCTATGGTTCTTACAGTCATTCAGAATTCAGGTGGGGATGGTTCACATACACCCTTCCATTTGTTGGATAAGATGTCAACAAATAGTAGCAAATCATCCACATGCTTCCTTGGATTCCTGAGTTCACGCTAGGACATAATTATCAAGTACGCAGATGCTCTCAAGTCCCAGAAAGAAAGATTCCTTCGGCTCTCATGAATTATGATTCAACAAGAAAAAAAATGACTTTGCAATGGAAAGAACCTCACACTCTATTATGATTGCCACTTAAAATAAACATTTGGAGCTGATTGTTTTCCTCAGTGAATTTTATTAAAAAATGAATGTTTTCTCTTAATTTTTTACAGCCCCCTGTTTTAAAGCAAAATAATTTCAAAGATTGGTCATGTTTCTTCCCTTTTGAATAATTTGCAATCTTAATAAAAAGTCAGTGTTGAATTTAAAAGGGACTTGTTAAAAGGTGTAGGCATAGAAAAATACATATAATAGCAGTATATGAACACATATATGTTCAGAGTAATATCTCATGTATTCATATATATTTCTGGATGCATATAAATATTTATGCATATAAGCTTCTAGAAAATTGGCACTCAGACATTCCAGATTATAGAGATGAGCTTTAGATAACTTTATAGGATTCTTAACCATAAATCATGAAATATAGCTGTAAAGTAAGGAGCAAATTTTGTTAAAATACAGTGCATGAGGTCAAAATGTGTTTTTAAAAATAAAGACAGCATCTGGAAAAAATTAATGATGCCAGTGCTAAAATTAGCTAAATAATGACCAAAGGAAAGAAAACACCAGAAGACACTCTAAGGGAAGCTGGAAAGGCCAGTTCCATTTCAAAAAGATTCTAAACAGGCGCATGCCCAGCTGTCACTATTTCCTTTCCCATCCTCTTAGTTCCGTTTCCATTAAGGAATATCCTTGATAAGAAAGGAATCATTGTTTACATGTCCAAATCTAACTATGCTGGACTGAGATTCCCTCTACGACATTCACTACATTTTGGCTATTTTAGGCATGTGAGAATTTGTAGAAACTCTTTTAAAGTAAAAGGTCCAAGTAGTAAATTCCTGGTCCTAATGCCCAAGAGACTTTTGATAACAACAGCCTTGAAATCGTCATGTTGGCCTGCCTATAGTTTACAACTGTACCATGAGATACTATGGGACATTGAGTTAGTGAGTCATACAGGAGGGAAAGCAAGATAAGCCACTACTAGAATTTTCTCTTTTGTGAACGCTAGCACTGCAATGTTCAGGTGAGACTGTGACCAGAAACACAATTTCTCGATTTACCTAGCTTATTATAATAGAATTGATTGATTGAGACAGAGTCTCACTCCGTCACCCAGGCTGGAATACAATGGGGCAATCTCAGTTCACTGCAATCTCTGCCTCCCGGGTTCAGGCGATTCCCCTGCCTCAGCTTCCCGAGTAGCTGGGACTACAGGCGCCCACCACCATGCTGGGCTAATTTTTTGTATTTTAGTAGAGACAGGGTTTCACCATGTTGCCCAGGCTGATAGTGAACTCCTGAGCTCAGGCAATCCACCCACCTCAGCTTCCCAAAGTACTGGTATTACCGGTGTCAGCCACCGCGCCCAGTCATAATAGGATAATTTAAAACTAACTTCCTATCAAAGAGCATAAAACAACAGAAATCCTTACTGGTGGCCCAGAAGATGGCATCCACAAAGGTCATCTTGTACTGCTCCTTATTCCTCAAGGTGTACATGTTAGGAATGACAGACCTATCTCCCTTCACTCAGCACAAGGGGGCAAAGGAGAGACACGTTATTGCCTCATGGGAAATTTGGAACATACTCAAAGATAGAGATTTTATTTCTTCAAATGACCATAAGTCATAAAACCAAATATAATAGCCAAAAGGGCTGTTATTCCTGTTGATATCACTAGAGAATCACAATGCTGTTTAGGGTAAGGAAATAGATGGAAATATGTTTAATAAATTACTTGGAATACATTTTTAAAATAAACATAAAACATATACTGATAATTTTTAATTTAGAAGGCTCTAGAGAAAATAATATCCTGAATTGGTTATTAAAAAATATCTTGGGAATGACGGTGTCCTAATGTTTATGTGTTTTGATCATTCTAGGCAATGCTGATCCGGAAGGCCAGGGTTACTGCCAAGCCGGATTTAGTCTGGATTTTTACAAGGTGAATTATTTTGGTCTTGCAGCTTCTAATATTTAATCTGATTTTTTTCCCCTCTGCCTCTCACTCCCACATCCCAAAACAACCACCACCACTACCACCACCAAAGAACCAAAGAATCTTGAGGAACATACCTAGCCCGTTCAGGCAAATTCTTTCTAAAACAATTTTTCTGTTCCATTTTTACATAAGTAATTTATGCACATAGCAGCCTATTGAATAGTAGAGAAATAGGCATGATAAAAAGTAACAGCCTTTCTTCTTACACTTTGTGACAATAATTTTTGAAATGAAAATCCTGAAAACGCAGTAATGTTTCTGAAAGAAATCACAAGACTCTATTCATTGTTTTATCTGCTAACTATAATTGACCAGTTACATTTAATATTAAAATTCATATATCCTTTCACAAAATTAAAAACGGAGATGTTCAGTAAGAATGTAGAGGGGAAAGACTGTGTGGTTTTGAAAATGGTATAGAAAAATTTCATCATCATATAAACTGTCGACTGTTTTTCATCATACTTTTTATCATTTCTTTTTTGTTTTGTTCTGATGTTTTCCACTGAGAATTAAAGATATGAAAGGTGAGGATGCAAATTGCTGAGAAAATGTTTATATTTGCTAGTCTGGAGTGTTTGCTCTTTCTGCTGAGAAGGGGGTGGTATTCCAGATGTATGGGAAAAAAATAGGCATTACTATGGCCTTGAAATAAATTGGAACAGAATTGTCTTTTTATCACCAAGGCTCAAAAGACTATGTCTGCAAAACGGCACAGCATTAAACATGTTGAGATTTTGTTTATCACAGGCAGTGCCAGAAAACAGAATTTATCTCTCTCAAGGGGCAGCGTTCAACTTACCTAATTGAGTCAAATTAAAATTATTTAATATAACACACTAAATAATTGAAAGCAAAAGAGGAAACAAAATAAACTGCGGGCTTCAGATAGAAGGCTCTTTTAAAAATTGCATTTTATATGTAACAAATTGTTAGAGCAATGCTTATTAACAATGATTTATCACCCTTTAAACATGCTCA